TGCAATGGAGCGGCATCCACAAGATGGCACAAACTGGGAATATTCACGGTTTGAGGTACTGTCAGCAGCAGCAGTAGCACCAGCAGTGCGTGTACCACGTGATCGAAACTGGTGGGAGTTGGTGATCTCCATATCGGAACATATACCACCTTACATTGGCACGTATCCAGCGCACGCTAACATAGCACCTATCTATGGAGCACTAACCTCACTATCAACCGGTGGTGTTTGGGTTGTGGAGGGTAGGGAGAGGCGTAGGGTTAAAACCAGGATGCAGACAAAGTGTCAAACGAAAGTGACCTGCTGTGTCAACCGTTTCTTCTACAACTTGATAAAGTTGCCTCGTTGGCAAACAGACCCAGTTGCGATAGTACACATACGGGTGCCAGCTAGCTCTGTGGTTCAGTCACCTGCTTGCCGCACATTTTGCATACCTGTACTTGAAAAGATACGCATAGAATTCGACACAGGGGCTGTGCGGTAACATCGGGATGTACGCGGCCGAACCCCAGAAAGACAAAATAACATACAAGAAAACGTACCCTGACCCGCAGCGATCCTCCAGTTTGAAGCATGCTTTGTACGGTTCACTTTGGTCAGGTTTTTTCTTGAGGACAGCAACACACCACCAAATATCCGAAACGATCGAGGCGACACGCCGTTGAACACAGCTGCCCACGCGGGCCAATCTGCCGCAGTAGAAGAACTGCTCAAGCACGGGGCTGACGTCAACGCCAAGAACAACAAGGCATGATGACAGACGCACTGTTTTTGTGTTTACAGAGTCGCTGTTGGGCTGTGATTTGAATCTAGATGTGACCAATCGTCGCTGCTTTGGGTAGAACCAAAGTCTCTGGTTCCCACTGCCTGCGAATAACGTCACAGGTAGGAGCGGAGTACAATTTTTTCTCGTTTTTGGGATAACGTCAAGTTCAATCAATCACAATCTCTGCATCAGCAACCACACAGGTTCAATATTCGGATTCGATTCGCTGGAAAACATTCTTCAATAGGATGCGTGCCGCAGCTAGTGGTACCCGATGGGTGTTTTCCATGGTTAGTTTCCAAAAATATGCGTGAGGCAACATTGAGGACAAGTTTGGTATGCATACAATACAAACCAAATACCCCTTCCACGTAGATACCAACGGACCCACGTCCCCATAGAATTGAGGTAGGAACCTCAAAAGCCCAATGATCTAGACAACATGACGAACCTGTATACCGACAGGAACGTGCTATAAGTAGTGGGTTTGTTCTTGAGGAGAGATGGAGTGCCGTGAGGTTGCGAGCTGTTCCACAGTCCGCAGCTGTTGCGCATGGGTGCGATGAGAACAATGACGAACTGATATAGATCGACTTTCGCTCAGCCATCGGTGTCGTCGCACGGGGGGGCGCTAACTCCGGAGAAACCTACTTCAGCCGTGTGCCGTTGCGCATGGTACTACGAGTTCCTTGAAACTTGTTGCTCTGGAACAGTTTTTTTGTAGTGCTTTTCTACCGCGGTATGTACCGACGGGGGGTTCACTGCTGTATGCATGGCCCTGCTGTGGCGGTGGGCACGTGCAGAAATGACACGGAAGCTTTCGTTGAATCGGCAAACAGTATCTACTCAACCAAGCACACAGACACGCACCGCACCGTATTTCTTGCAGAATTTCAGAAAGAAATGATGGACTTCGACTTCTGTACAGGGATCGGAGTTCTCGCACAATCCGGAGTTGTCTCACAGGGGCGTGTTTAGAAGGCAAGAGAGCCATGTACGATTTAATACGATCGCATTCGTGTGCAATAGCTTGGAACCTTACCATGTATCCCTGCCCTGAGAGAAAGCCTATGCGAAGGAAGAAACAAACCACGGCAATTCATCTACCGAACTCCGCAGCACCCCTGACGCTTCCCATTATTGCGTTCATGCGACATAACAAAAGGGATGGACCCCAGCTCTGAGCGCGGCCTCGACTGACCACCGCGACGTGATGATGCTGCTCCACCATGCGGGAGCGGATCTGAAAATGAAGGACATAACCGGCTCCACTGCGGCGCACATGGCGGCCTCCACCAACAGCGTGCAATCTATCAAGGCGATATACGAATGCTTCGGAGATCCGGGGGTCTTGTCGGCGCAATCGCACAACGGGTCCACGCCGGCCCACATCGCCGCAATTTTCGACAACGCCGAGGTACAGCAGTAGTGGTCTTGAGAGAGAGGAAGGAAGGCGACGTCGTGAGCAAGTTGTGTGGTATGCCGGTAGGGGAGATGTATAGACGTTTGGAGAGATGTGCCGTTGGTTTCTCGAACCATTTCTCTCGCCGCGAATGCCCACATGTGAAGATCAGTAACACGTGGCGTCTAGAGCCCTTGAGGCCTTGTGGTGATGCTTCATTCCAAAGCGTTTTCAAGTAACCAAGTGTAGTGTCGCGTGATGTTTGCCGTATGTTTTTTCGGGGCCAAAGATGGGCGTATTCCGCAACGTGTAAAATATTGCTCGCAATTGTCGGTACACTTCTTGTTCCGGGCAGACATGGTGCCGTATGCATACAACGATTCAATAAATTTCGGCACCATTCCAGTGATGAGACCCTGGCCACACCAAAGGAGCAACAACTGGCACAAACGATGACTCGCTCGTGTTCCATAACCTGCGTTATGATCATGTTTCGACATCTTTGACCATGATGTCCCGCTGCTTCCACCAGGCGCTCAAGGCGCTGTACGAGCTCGGGGCGAACATGGATAAGCGAGACAGATCGGTAAGATCATGTGTTTTCACGACGAGACGAAATCGTCGGATTCAGGGTAGGGTGAGTGTGCCCGTTGGGGGGTGCTCCTAGTCGATTCTAGTACCGTTGTCTTTCGACCACGTCCGCGGCATAAATACTAAGCCAGGACCGTATGCGGCGGGTGGGCTCGCCGGCCAGCAACAAGCACAGAGCGTGAGATTTTCACGAAGGCACATGGAGTAACATCTGTGGCAGCACCTCCTGCGTGCTGCGTACAGTACCGAATACAACTTGGTTCGTCTTCCGACCCACTTCTAGAAGCAGCGTTGAAGTCACTATGGCATTCTCTCCCTCATGAGATGCCTGACCATACGCGCCCAACGTCATACGGTCATCCTCCTTGTGGCAACGTATGGCTGCCCGCCCTGTACAAGCTCGAGACCACCCATCCACGGCGGCATCCGCGTGATGTATGTTACACACTGCATGGCGTGGTTCATACCCATGTTGCACGCGCGAGCTCCAACCCCGTAGGGGGGATAGGTGACGAACCACGAGCACGCTTGCGTTGTAGAATATTTGGTTCTGAAAATAATGGTCAATTTGATTGCAAAGCGGTGGTTTCATCCCCACACGATTCCGCACAACCCCGACGGTTGAAGCCCAACGCCGACCTGGTTGGCCGAACCCGCACCTGCGATACGGAGAGAATCGGTAAAGATTAATCACACGGCCGCGGCGTCTCAAGAAGAAGCGTAGAGCTCATCGCAAATTACCCGAAGGGGGTGGTGTCCAGTAGCTAAGGGCAACGGCAGCACACCGAAATATTGACTTGACCTGCCCAACCTTCTCGCCGAATGCGCCATCACTTGAGAACACCTACTTTGACCGATGCTCATGTCTTGTTTTGTCTATGGGGGTAACCCTAACCCCCACGGGGACCATATAGGTTTTAGTGTAGGATTTTTGACTGAGCACCTGTTCTTACAGCCAAGTTCTCAGATTTTTGTATTTTAAGAGGCTCCTCAAGTTCTTAACTTCTTAACTGCTGAGTTCGTAGGTGGTGTCGCGTTCTGTACACGGTCTCCTTGTCATTGGGCCCACCTGGAATTACAACATGTTTGCTGCTGGTTGCTGCTTGCGGCAGGGCGAAACACCGGCTCACAAGGCTGCCAAATCGCACCATGTCCGATGTGTGGAGTTTCTCCAGGCCGTGGGTGCCGACATGAACGCCACCAATGATGAGGTTTGGGTTCGGTATCGATATTTCGAGCTGAATGTGTGGTTGGGGAACCATCCTTGTTGAGATTTTTCCATTTTGGGAGCGTCAGGACCCACACCGAATCGATGTGACATCATGGCAATCAATCTGTGATGTTTTTTATCAGTTTCCCTCTATTTTTCGCGTAGGCGGACTTCATGATAACAAGTACTACTGGATGCGTGATCGACCAAGTACCTCTGATTGGAAGTAGCAGGAGCAAGAGGTCTGGGCGGCCACGCACCGTTATTGTCGTCGTGGGAACAACATCAGGACTGATTTGTTGATCAGACATCATTCCACTCCACGAGCGGAGACGAAATGCTTCAAACGTCCTTCCATGAATATATATGCTTTGAACGCCCTTCTACTCTCACAGCCCACACATGCACATCATCCGCGCAGTGGCCACTGCGCTCTCCATGTTCCGTCTTGCGTGCAACTACCGTCCGTTTCGTCAGGACGACACACCAAGACATCTTGCCCTTTGGAGCGGCCGGTTCGAGAGGTGACAGTTACCGCGCAAGAATTGACGAGCTGCACAGAACTTAGACCTAGGTTGCAGTGACGCGTTGGTGGTCGGTATATTGAGGCGGCGGTTAGTTCTGGACAACGTCGTTCAGTTTGACCAGCACGGCTTTGCTGGCAGCTGTTGTGTCTCGCAGGTGCATCATGTATTTTCTCGTGAGCTCACACGCACAGCGAGAGGTTTGGACTAGAGCTGGAGCGTGGATGTGTCGGCTTGCGTACGCATGGTATCGAGCCCAGAAGGATCTAAGGATAACGCGGTCACGTTCTTCAAGTTGTAGAACACTTGCCCCGTCGACTAGCTGGTCTCGAAAGGGCACCGAAGACCGGAAGGCGGCATTTTTTTTGCTGAAAACGAAGGCTTCGTCAGCAGAAGAACACCACCAACGAATGATTCCACGCTGTCGACCTCCTCGGGTCCGCAACCGTTAAGAACAGGAATAAAATACCGGGCAGACGGCATGAACTCGCCCCCTCCACCCCTCATTTCGCTTCAGCACCCACCACGTGCCCCCAACCCTAGGAAGAAGAACTGCGTACCAGTGATACCCCCTCCCCAAAGCCAAACCAAAATGTACATCCGTATTCAATACGACACCAACCTACGTATCGTGCCGTCAACCAAATTTGGTGCGGGGCTAAACTACAACATTCAAGGCCCACACTCTTGGCCCATGACCAGCAGTCGCGACACAGATTGCCTGAAAATCACGAACTGGGAGCAAGAAAAGCTTCCATATCGATTTGCTCTTTTGCTGGCAGCACACCTTCTTGTTGAGCACCGGCCTCCATACCCCGGTGATCCCAGGGCGCTTCCAGGCAATTCATAGCTTGGTACTGGCGACACTTTCTGCACGCCGTTGCACCCCCAAGTCGATAGGCATAGCTTCCATCGACCATATTTCTGTCTCTCCCACCCTCTGCTCAACCGCCAGGCTAGCGCGGCGCCGACTGCTCTCAAACAAATCGCGGTATTGGTTGTACAGAATGAAGAATAGGTATCATCTCTACGCTTCATCCGCCCTACGTACAACCACACCATCTGAGGGACGACCAGCTTTTGCTCCAGCAAGCAGTTCCCCCTCTGTCGCACACCCGACTACATCCAAGAAAAAGAATCATGGATGGGGGGGGGGAGGGGGCGGTAGCATCATAAGTGCAACCAATGAACACAACCCACAATATACACGCAAAACAGAAAGTGAAACACGGTACACCGGCCTTCCACAAGCAGCGGCGGTAGAAGGAGCACGGCCGCTCCACCCCCCCCCGAACGCGCCGCTTTCTTCACCCCTGGTGCACCCAGAGCTCTAGCCACGGCCTTTGTTCCAGCAAGCGGTCGCCCTTCCTCCGCCACGCCTCCACCGCTTCGGTCGTGATCAGACCCGCGAGCGGCGCGAAGCGCTCGGCGCCCACCTTGTCCCTGACGGCTCCGACCAACACGTCCGGGAACGCGCCCATTCGCACGAGGTCCCTCGGGGTAGACACCGACACTTCTTCCAACGCCTGTCGTTTGCGTGTTAGGTTATGCCGCGGTGCGAGGATATGACAGCATTGGGTAAGGATACAGCAGCAGCATGGGGTTTCCAGGATGAGGGGGCTCGGTTTTTGGGGGTAGAGAAACGAAGCTTACGTGCCGAACACTTGTCAGGCCTCTTGTAACACCAAGAGGAGACTTGAGAGAGGAAAAGGATAAAAATGCACGTATGTCCAAACGAAGCCCCAACAAAGAACGAATTTAGAAGAGAAACCTCGGCAAAAGCAAAAAGGGGCTGCTTCGGTAAAGGTAGAAAAACATGAAAAAAACACCACCCGAGGGGGGGAAACAAAGCTGTACCACACATCATATGCATACAAACCTCGATCACATCCTCGTTCCCTCCGACAATGTCCGCCATGATCTCGTCCAGCTCCTCCCCCCTCGCTCCCTGCACCCACTCGGAAACCTCCTCCGCGGTGACCCTGGCCTTCTCTCCGCTGCCACTGCTGCCGCCTCCGCCACCCGCACCTCCATCTGCCGCCGCTCCTTCCCCGGCAGCAGACCCTTCGCCTGCATCTCGCTCGTGCTGCTGCTGCTGCTGCTGCTGCAGGGCGGCCAGCTGTCGCGCCAGGTCCTCCTCGTCGCGATCGGCAAGCTGCCCGAGCGTCCTCAGCCCGGCCGCGACAAGAAGCCCGGCCCCGGGCTCTCCTGCTACCTCCACCAAACCCTCCATGTCAATCTCCTCCTCCTCCTCCTCCTCCTCCTCCTCCACACCATCCCCGTTCTCTTCTTCCGTGTCAGGCACAACCGGAGCCGCCGCCGCCGCCGCCGCCGCCGCCGCCGCCGACCCTCCGACCGCCGCCGGTGCCGGGCGCCGCTGCGACGCGGTAAGCCTGGCGAGGGCGGCGTTGGCGGCCCGACGACGGGCGTCCGCCGCCGCCGCTGCCGCGGAAGCGGCACGCGCTTCCTCCGACACCTCGTCGGCTGGCAGAGATTCCGCCGCGTGCTGCGGTTCTTCTTCTCTTTCTTCTTCGGATGAGTCCGTCTCGATGCCCTCCCTAAGGCGCGATGGTTCCGGGTGGGACGGCATATTAGTTACAGGGGCGTTTTTTCCGTGTACAGTAGGGGAAGTTGATTAGAGACGAAGTCGGCGGGGGGCAGCGGCGGCGGCGGGAAAGCGGGTGGGCATCATCGCGAAATGAAGTCTCTGCTGCCGCCGGAAATTGGGCTACACCAAAGCGCAAAAAATTAACATCTTGCAAAAAGGCCAGCAGCCGCTTGCGATACAATCGGTGTTCTTGCCGTGCGTAAGCCATCCCATCCTCACAAACGGCAACCACAATGAATGCCATCAGGCACCCTTTCTATTCCGCGAAAAAGAATTTGAAAGGCGTGTAGACTCGACAAATCTCGCACGCGAACCGACTGCACGTAAGGAAAGAGAGAGACAACTACAAGCACCAATTTATCAAGCCCCGAAACCGAGAAGGAACAAAACAGCGCGTAATAACCCCGACACACCCGAAAACCCCATGAAGTAGGCCAACCCCCTCGAAACTCACTTTCTCCTCTTCCTCCTCTTCCTCTTCCTCCCGGCCCTCGCCCTCTCCGCCCGCTCCTCCTCCGCCTCCCGCCGCTCCGCCTCCTCCGCCGTCGCGTTCGCCACAGCCTTCTCCGACGGCTTCCGGTTCCTGGTCTCCACGAAGCCCCAGTCCACGTCGGGCGCGGCGAGGCGGAGTGCCGCCGGCACGTCGCCGCCCCAGTGCTGCACGAGCGACCAGAACATGCGTGGGCTGCAGCCGGCGAAGTTGTGGGGCTTGAGCATCTCCCGGGACTCCGGGTCGCGGGCGATCATGCGGACCACGGCGGAGACTTGCTCGCGGGGGATGCGGTCCACGGTCTCCTGTAAAAAAAAAACAAGGAAAAAAAAAAAAAAAAAAGTAGACTTGATACGAAGTACGCTTTCATGCCGGGAAAAATAGTACCATAGTGGTGTAGGAAAAGCTGGAGCTCAAACTCTACCGCCGTGTAAGGCCATCTACGTGCGCGAAGCGTATCTCCCGTAGATTGTTGTCTCACTACCGCAGCCGAAAAAAAAGGTGGGGTTGTTCCCGGTGCCACACACATCACTGGTAGCAAAAGACCGCGGCCTCGATGTTATTGTACCTGCTGCATCCTGCTTGTTGTTTGTACTGCACATTAGACGTACAATACAACGCGGAAGAAGACTTTCAGATAGGATTGGGTGTGCGGAGATTCGCAGTCTCACCGTCAGCTGGCTCTTGGCGCCAGCTCCCTTTGAGAACGATATGTTGAGAGCGACAGACTCGCCATCCCCCAGCCGCCGCTGCGTCGCACTGGCCTCCACCGTGTACCAACCGCCGAGGGCGGCACGTACACGGGCATCTTGTTTCGTTCACAACACAAATGTTGATGCGAGCGAGGAGGGGGGGGGGGGGGGGT